TCCTATCCCAAACTCACGATGATAATTCAAACCATTCATATTATATACTCTATTTCACAGATCCTATCCCAAACTCACGATGATAATTCAAACCATTCATATCGTAAATCTAACAATAAAAATAAGTTATGTAAATAATCAATTTTATCTGATATTAGTAAATACATAAGTAAATTATATTTTAGTTTTTTAAAAAATAAACGACAATAGTATTAAACTATTTATTTTATAAAATAAAATATAATTTATTTATTTATTTATTTATTTATTTATCGATATCTGATAAAATTAATTTTTTATATAAATAATTTTTATTATAAAATTACTATACTGATTATAAATTCAAAATTAGAGAAATCAATAAATCGATGTAATTTGGATTTGGTCCAAAATCCTAACCATCCAGCCCAACAAAGGTGGAGAGCAAGGGGAAATGGGGAAATGGAAAATGATTACATGAAAGAAATGGGACCCAACTTCTTCCTTATCATCTTTGCCTTTGTAATAATATAAGTCTTTCAAAATTTATTTTGACTTGGGAATTGGGTCCCACATTGGCCCACCAATGTCTCTATGAATTGAATGATAAAGCAAGACCACCTCACGTGGATCTCTGATCCAAAGGGACCTGTCCTAACCCACCATAAAAATGACCTTTCATTTCGAGTTGGAAATTCTATTACGTGTACCTTTTTTGATTTTTAAAAATGTTTGAGACCACCAATCAGTGATGATATTAATAATGTAATGAGTTTTATTTATTGTTACACTGTTGTTGTGTTTTTTTTTTTAATTTTTCACTTTATTAGTGGTGATTTAGTGGTATTAATCACTACGGTTTAGTTTTTGATAGCCGGGGTGTTGCAACCAGTTTATGTGTGTTGTGACTAATTTTGAGATTTACAGAAAAACACTTATTTCTTTTGAATTGGATAAATATCGGATAAAGTTTGTGGACGTGATTTGAAAAAATTATTTTGCTTGGTTAGAATTTTTTAAAATATTTTTTAGAAAATTTTACTGTATTATTTTTCATATTTTTTTATTTTTACTGATTTTTTTTAATATTTTAAGTAATTTTTTTTTTAATTTTTAGACATACCTAACATAAATATATTTAAAAAGTAAAAAATTTGTGAAAAAATCTTTTAAAAATTCACTAAATATCAAAAATATAAATAAATAAAAAAACAAAAATTTAGTATATTTTTATGTATTTATTAATTTGTAAAAATATTTTTTCACAGATTTTTTACTTTTTAGATATATCTAAGTAAGATGCATTTAAAAAAGTTAAAAAATTGTTTAAAATGTTAAAAATATTCACTAAAAATTAAAAAAAAAACACGAAAATTAAAAAATTTAATTTTTAAAAAAATTAATTTAAAAAGCTAAAACCAAACACACTAAATAGTATTTAGTGGGAGTTGAATTTAATATTTAATACACTCTAGCAGCTTTCAAATTGCCCTTTACTAGGCCAATCCCTGAGGATTGCTATTATGTGTACCTTATACCCCTTTACGATTTTTGTGGTATTTATTTTAATTTATTTTATTTTAATATTAGTTATAATTTATTGTGATATTATAACATTATTTTAGTTATGATCAAAGAATTCTTTGGTTATAACTTATATGATATTTGGCTACAATATTTTTTATTTTTTTATTTTTTTTGAGTTATGACTTTCATAAGATTAATTATGACATTTAGCATTATCTTTTGAGTAACGATTAAATAAAAAAAAAATTATATAAGCCCACTTTTAGATCCACTTTTAAGACTTAATGATATATAAATAAAATGATTAATTGATGATTATAGAAGATATGAGAAATAGTGTTATCTTAGATATTTTAATTTATTATCATATCATTAAGTTTAAAAAATGAGTCTAATTTTTGAATTTGAATAATAATATAACAGTAATGTCAAATGATATTATCACTATTTAATGAATAACTTTTATCTATGTGAAAAGATCATAATAATTTTAGACTAGTGAAAGACAATAACTATATACTTAATTCGTTTATAATTTTTTTATTAATTAATGACACTGCATAAAATAATATCATTCACTCTGTTTAGTTTCAATTTTCATAATTTACTTTTCTGAAAATTCTATTTTTTTGCTTTTCATATTTTTTTATTTTCACTGAATTTTTTTAATATTTTATTCATTTTTTAAAAAAAAATTTAAACACACCTAACATAAATAAGCTAAAAAGTATAATATTAGTGAAAAAAATCTTTAAAAATTTCACTAAATATCAAAAATACAAAAAAAAAAACTAAAATTCAATACATTTTTCGTATTTTTGTGTATTTATTAATTTTTTTAAATATTTTTTCAAAAATATTTTACTATTTAGATATATCTAAGTAAGGTGCATCTAACAAAGTAAAAAAATTGTTTGAAATTTTAAAAATATTCACTAAAAAAAAAACACAAAAAATAAAAAAAAAAAACTCAATTTTCAGAAAACTAAAACCAAACGCACTGATTGTTACACTCAATATTTTTTTTTAATTCTCTCCCAACCAACACCAAATATATATATTATATAAATTCACAAAATTTTAAAAGATTCGTTTGTTAAGTTTGAAATAATACAAAAGAAAATTTAAATTTAAATATTCATTTTAAATATTATATATATATATGATTTTTTTATATCACATTTTGTATGCCAAGTATGAGTACATCAACAATCATTGAAGTGGTGAGCTTCACAAAAATTTCATTAATATTGAAATATATCATATCATATGATAAAAAAAATCGACCATGCTACGTAACTCGAAACCGCGGCTCGAAATCGCGGCTCGACACCAAAACGACGTCGTTTTGGTGTCGAATTTTTTTTTTTTTTTTTTTCTTTCTTTCTTCCGCTGGTGTTACACGAACGACAGAAGAAGAAGAAGAAGGGAGAAGAAGAGAAGGGAGGAGGAGGAGGGAGGGGAGGGGGCCATAAAAACCGGTTGGAGGAGGAGGGGAGGCTGGGCAGATGACGGTGGTGCTGCGATGTCGGCGGGGCTGGGCAGACGACCGGGGCTGGGCGAGGCGACGGTCTGCTGCGACGATCGGCGACGACCCACGACGACGAGCCCTCTCCTCTCTCTTTCTCCCTCTCTCCTCCTCTTCCCTCTCTTTCTCCCCTCTTCTTCCATTTTCGAGCCGTTTCGAGCTCGACCCTTTCGAGCTACGAGACATTTTCGAAAAAAAATATATAAAAAAGGATAGAGAGTTTTATCAATATGTGAATTTAGGGCACATATTATGAAGGTTTAAAAGATTTACAATCTTTACCGCACATATTTTATGTAGAATGTTCAATCTTTTAAAGTTTGTTAACATATATTTTGAAAGAGTAATATTAAAAATTCACATATGAATTTATCTATAATGATATGGTATGAGAGTTAGATTCACTATCATTAAATGTGTAATAAATCAAAAGTTAACACATATTTTACAACATCATTGTGGGTACTTTTTGAGGATCTCAAATATTTTTCTATTTTGAAAATGAAAAATGTTTGAGACCCACAAAAAAACTTTCACAAGCATAGGGGTCTTTTGGGAACACACCAAAAAAGTCAATTTTTTTAGCTTTTTTAGCTAAAAAAGTCAATTTTTTTACTCAAAATAATCCAATTTTTTGCCAAAAAAAATTAAAAAGTCAATTTTTTACCAACTTTCCAAAACACTACTATACTACAATGGTACGTCAGGATAACTATTAACTTCTAATTTGTTATACATCTAATCATTAAGAATTCTATTATCTTTTTATATTATTGTAAGTGAATTTGTGAATTACATATTTGAAAACACACATCTTAAGGTGTACTTGTTAGGAAGATGATGTCCAAATTATACCAAAACAGTATCAGCTAGGGCTGAGCAAAGAATCCGTGAAATCCGTAATCCGATCCAGTCCAGTCCAATCCGATAGGTTTGGATTGGTTTTTTGAATCCGTGGTTCGGTTCCGGATTAAAGAATTAAAAATCCGTAATTCACGGATTGGTTCTGGATTGAACCCCACGGTTCCAGATTGGAACCGATCCGGACCGTATACAAATAGTCTATATTTTTATTATACATCCTTCCTCATAGTATCTTCTCTTATTCCGTATAAAACCTAAACTCAAACCTAAACTCGCATCATATATTCTTTTATTACTTTTGTTTGTTAGTTTTTAATTTTAATTTATAATGGTCTAAATACTTATGGTGAAACCAATTTTTTTTTATAGTTGTTTAAATTCTAGAACAGTGTGTCGCTATTATAGAAAGACATGTTGCTATTGTGAAGCTAATATATCGCTATGTTTATGTTTTTATGAAATTAAAGTGCTATATATATATTTTTTTGTTATTTAATTATGTGAATCCGTGGTCCTAAACCGTTCTAATTTGTTATACATCTAATCATTAAGAATTCTATTATCTTTTTATATTATTGTAAGTGAATTTGTGAATTACATATTTGAAAACACGCATCTTAAGGTGTACTTGTTAGGAAGATGATGTCCAAATTATACCAAAACAGTATCAGCAAAACTTGACCCTAAACTCATGCACAACACACAAGTATAAAAAACTCCGAGGCTTGGCCTATTGGGTGTAGTTTGAGATTTGGAATGTGTTCTCTAAATTTTAAGTTTTAACTTTTATGAAGTGTAATTAATTTTTTGGAATGACGCCGGTAAGTTTTATTTGGAATTTATTTAATTTATATAAGTGATATTTTACGTAAATTTTAAGATTAATTGAGATGTACGTAAATTAATTTAAATATTCGATAATTAAAATAAAAAAATAAATAAATAAAACACAATTATAAAATAATATGAATTACATAACACGAATCGTAAGTCCATATCATTACTTGCGCAAAAAGAGCACTATATAACCATTTCTTTTCTTTTCTTGGAAAATTTATGCTTTTTAAAGCTACACTCATATAATTCTCACTCATTATCTTTGTTCCTTAAAGCCACCCCCCCTCCTCCCTTATCCTCCCTCCCTCACTCCCTCTGTCTCTCTCACTGCATTAAAAAAAAAACTCCATTTCAAGAAACTCTCTCTCTCTCTCTCTCTCTATTTTGGTGATCATAGAGAGAAGAAAAGACCCACCACAACAGATTAAACTAAGCTCCCATCACTCTCTCTCTCACAAACAACAAAAAAAAAAAAATTACAGAGAGAGAGAGCTTATCACATGTGATCATGGATTTTCCTTTCCAATTGCTTGAAAAGAAGGAAGAAGAAGAAGAATCACCATGCTCAACTTCCGCCAACCCATCTCCGCCCATCGCCACTGTCTCCGCCGCAGGAGAGACCTCAAAAAAGCCGACTCCTCCTAAGAGGACAACCACCAAGGACCGCCACACCAAAGTCGACGGGCGCGGGCGGCGCATCCGCATGCCGGCGGTGTGCGCCGCCAGGGTCTTCCAGTTGACTCGAGAACTGGGTCACAAGTCCGACGGAGAAACCATCGAGTGGCTCCTCCAACAGGCCGAGCCCTCAGTCATAGCCGCCACCGGTACCGGTACAATTCCGGCCAATTTCACCTCCCTCAACATCTCGCTCCGGAATTCCGGATCCACCCTTTCCGCACCGTCTCGCTTCAACAGCTCCAATTTCTCGATACCATATCGCAGGAGTTTTTTCCCGGAAAGTTCGCCGTCGACGACTCTTCTCAGTTTCCAAACAACCCATCAGGAGGCGGAGGCGGAGAGTATGGAGCGGAAACGGGCGGCTGAGCGCCACCACGAACAAATGGGTGGTGGGTATTTGTTGCAGTCGACCACTGCGGCCGCTGCCGGAGTTGCGCCGCCGGTTAGTCAGAGTTCGATTCCAGCGAATTTTTGGATGGTGGCAAATAATTCTAGTAATAACCAAGTGATGAGTGGTGGTGGGGGTGGTGATCCTATATGGACATTTCCTTCGGTGAATAATAGTGGTTTGTATAGAGGAGGTACAATGTCAAGTGGGTTACATTTTATGAATTTCCCTACTCCAATGGCCCTCTTGCCTACCCACCAACTTCGTGGCGGCGGTGGCGTTGATAGTAGTAGTGGTAATAGTGATGGTAATGGTGGTCATATGACCGACGGATATTTGGGTATGCTTGCTGGATTAAATCCATATTCATATCCATATTCATATCGATCATATGATATTTCAGAATCACAAATAAGTGAGTCTCACTTACATCACGAAAATGATGACCGACACAATACAACTAGTCACCACTCATAAATTTTGGCCATGTTTGTTTACATGAGGTTTGATTTGCTCAAAGAATTAGAGTTTATTTTATTTTGTTTTTGTATTTGTGTGTGTGATAATATGGGTTTTTTAGGGTTTGAGAAGAGAATATCTTAACATGGGTTAATGTTTTTATTTTTATTTGTTGGCTAAAAAACTCATTTGGTTTTTTCAGTATACTATTTCATCAACATTGTTTGTGCAATTTTTTTTCCCCGTAAAGCTATTTGTAATTTTCATGCTTTGTTAATGCATGTTATGAAGAAATTCTATAATAAGTTGCAATCTGGTTTTATATCATGGACTGACTCTGTTGAGTGCATGGGTGAAATAGCACAAGTTCTGTTTCATAAAATAAAAATACTAGAATCACAAAACTAGCACTACAAAATGTATAAAACATGTACTTTATCTAATTGGGATTTATTTTAAATGTGATCAAGACTATATTTAGAAAGAATTTGATTCAAAGCATAGTTGTGTATGTTTTTTTGCACCTCATTCTGTGATAGAGTAAGATAGCGAAGTGTTATTGTACGATGTAGAGTATAAAGGAGTGCATTGGGAATCATAACCGCTGTCCTAAACGCTCCTCGGCCACAAGGTCGATCAGTCAAAGAGAAATTAATTCTATGATAATGAGGGTGTTTGGAACAAGAAAAAGTGGGAAAAAGAAACATTAGCCAATGCTTTGATTATGATGCAGCTTAATCGATTCAATGTTGCAAAAAGAAAAAGAAAAAAGTTATACAAAAATAAAAAATAATGTCATAACAACATTTTTGAATAAAAAATTATTTTGTTTGAAATGAATAAAACATGCTTAGGATCCATTTCATAGCGTTTATATTTATAAAAAATTTAATAACTGAGAAACAAATCTTATTAGTTTCTATTTTCATTTTTAGAAAATAGAAACAATTTTTAAAAGTTTACAAAAAATGAAGGTATTTCTCCTTTATATGTGAACATGTTTTTATTATTCTCTGGTCCATCACTTTTGACCACTCTCCAACTCTGGTTACCACTGTAGGCAAATTTTCCCACCACCTCCAACCAATGATCAACCATCTCCGGCCACCTATTTCATTTTACATATTTGTACCAAAATTTCATATGAATTTTCTGTTGGCATAATTCTCTCTTATGATCTTCTGATTCCAATCTGTCCTATGAATCTCATTGCATCCATGGTTTAGATATTTTTTTCTTTTTTTAAAAGAGATGGGGAGAATAGAACTGTGGGGGCCCAATTCTTATCAGATCCAGGTATTGGGTCGGGTGGTCAGGCCCATCATAAAAAGATCTGTAGTGGTGGGTGTTGTGTTGATGACCTAACTGGACTTGGCCCCACCACCTTATTAATCTGCACCGTCCATTTTTGGTGGGCACGATGGACTCACTGAATGAGTGGTTACCAATTTAGAGGAAATCAAAAAAGATTCTGGGCTTGCATGGCCCAAGTTGCAACAATTTGTCTCCCATCAACAATTTTTTATTAGGTAAACAAATGGTGCCTCCCATCACAAAGATATAATAATAAAAAAATTAGAAAAAGATGTATCTCCAAAAAGTAACCATGAAATTTATCTTTTAAAGTGAAATGTATGTGGGCCATTCTATATCATCTACCCATTTTATTTTTTTAATATCTAACATTATTAAAAAACTATTGAATATTTCTAGGATCAGTGTGTGTGGTATCTCCTTTGTCATGTTTGAATGACAGAAAGAAGGGCGGAATAAAAATTTCATTTGAAGTCAAAATTTTGGTTTAAGTTTTTTGGATTAAGTTTTTTAAAAATTGAGTTTTTTTATTTTTGTATTTTTTTATTTTTAGTGAATATTTTTAAAATTTTAAACATTTTTTTTACTTTTTTAGATGCACCTTACTTAGATGTATCTAAAAAATAAAAAATTTGTGAAAAAATATTTTAAAAAATTAATAAATACATAAAAATACAAAATATGTACAGAATTCTCGTATTTTTTCTGTATTTTTGGTATTTAGTGAATTTTTAAAAGGTTTCTTTCACAAATTTTTTACTTTTTAGGTATATTTATGTTAGGTATGTCTAAAAAGTTTTTAAAAAAAAAATTACTTAAAATATTAAAAAAATTCAGTAAAAACAAAAAAACACGAAAAACTAAAAAATAAAATTTTCTGAAAAGAGTTTTTAAAAAACTCTAACCAAGCATTCATAAGTTTGTTTCCCAAGTAGAAATCTCATTATAATATTTTTTTCAATAAAAAAATCACCTTTTTAGAGAAATATGAATTATTTAAAAATAAAACAATAGATGGACCCATACAATATAAAATCATATCATATTCCTATAGAAGAATCTTAACCGAGCAAAATGTTTGAATTACATTGGCATAGAAAAATTATTACTAGTAATGACATTCTTAATAGAATTTCCATTTATACTTTCTATTTTTTGTCATTCAAATTTATTAAGTGTGAATTTCGAAATCCTATGTCACACTCATTAAACCTTATCCAAAACAGAGATATTGTTGTAACCAAAAAAGTGGTTAATTCATTTTCTTCCCAATCCTTCTCATATCAAAGTATAAAAATTATTAGATGTCACAGTTTAAGAAAGAAGATAAGGGTAAACTATTAATAAATCTTAATAGTTAGATTTAATTCTTATTAAGTCTTATTGAAAATAAGTTCTAGTAAAATCGTCGTTAAAAATATTTTTTTTTTTGACGATTTTTTGCATATATCGCTAAAAATTAATAATTAGTAATTTTTTTTTTGTTAACAATTTTTATGAATTGTCGTTAAAACTTATAATTAGTGACATTTTTTGTGATAAATTTTTCAAACTGTCGCTGAAAGTGAAAAATTAATGACTTTTTTATGACGATTTTTTTAAATTTTCTTTAAAACTTATAATTAGTGACATTTTTTGTGACAAAATTTTTAAATTGTCACTGAAAATTAACAATTAGTAATATTTTTTAATAGTATTTTATGAAAAATAATTATTATAGGACCTATTGGACAATAAGCCCACCTATTATGACCTACACATAAGTCCCCCTTTAAATAACTTACAGGATTCGCTTAGGATGTGGGTCAGCTTTTGACTTTTTGATTTTTTGACTATTTTAATCTGAAGCTAAAAAGTCTCATTTGGGATAAATTTTTTAACTTTTATAAGAGAAAAAATAAAATAATTATGATTTAAATGTGACATTTTACCTTATTGGCTTTTTAACGTAATCACTTCTCAAATGAGTGCACAATCATTTTAAAAATCTCGTGTTAATTCCTCCTCTGATAAAATTGAATCATGCAGCTGGTTTCAATTTCTTAAACAACAAAATTAAAAGGTTTAATTCAATGCTAATTTTTTTCCAATCTCGACCTAATCAAGCAACTTACACCCGTTAGAGCCTATATTGGATTATTTGGTGCAATTTATGGGCAGTTTATATATATTTATAAAAAAAAATTGTGTTAGAATAATTTGTGCATCTTTTACTTATAGATTATAGAATAAAAATAACTTAAATCAATTGTTAAACAGCCATGGTAGAGATATTTTTAATTTTTACTTTCTAAGAGCAGTGGGTGAGATATTTTGCATTTGGGACTTGCTTCTCTTCGGTCCCAAATCAGATTGAAGAGTATTATTGGACCCGTGAAGGTTTATCACAGGTCACGTTTTAATAATTTAAACCGTCAATGTGTAGAACTCATCAAGTATTATATTCTTATGAAAAATCTCGTTAATCGGATATCGATAACTATATGATCAAATTAATTTTGTATAAAATAAATAAATGGTGAAAAAATAAACGGTTGACAGAAAACTGATCCGATGAGATAGCTATCGATTTCTGATCAATGTGATTTTTTACAGATATATAATACTCAATAAATTATACATATTAAACGATTCAGATTATCAAAATGAAATTTGTGTGATAGGACTAGAGAAAAGCCTGTACCTTCCCATACTTTTCAATTAAAAATTGTGCCAAACAGATCGATTAAAGCATATCAGGTGAATAGTGTCAAATCAATATATTGAAATAGAGAAAAAGTATGGAAGTGGTAGACAAAGGTGCACATGGGTATGAATTCAGATAGTACAACCAAAAGGTCCCTCCAATAAAATCTTGTTTCCAGCCCACGAATAGAATTATTGGATCCTCCGAACGATACATATTATCCACTTGTTTTATAAGTGGGCATCCATTTTGGGAGTAAAATCCCTACATTAGGTGATCAGAATCATATAATTTTGCAAAAATGATTGGTGGTCCTAAAAAATTTGCCCCTAATGCCCCTAATTTCTAATTTTGGAAACTGTTTTTTTTTTTCTTTCTTTTTTCCTTTTTTTTTTTTTTTTTTTTATAGAATTATTGGATCCTCCGAACGATACATATTATCCACTTGTTTTATAAGTGGGCATCCATTTTGGGAGTAAAATCCCTACATTAAGGTGATCAGAATCATATAATTTTGCTATGTTTGGGGACATGAAAATCTCCTAAACCCACTTTGCAATGCCAATCAATGACACTGACAAACTCACTTAAGATTTGATATGTAATTGACAAACTCACTTAAGATTTGATATCCATTACATTTGTGTGTCAGAGAGAGACATAGCTTAATGGCATTATGGTTATCAATATGTTTAGTGTTTGGCAAGTTGGGTTGGGGCTAAAATAGTCACAAAAGATAAAATAGGCTATTTTAGTCACAACAAACAAAACATCACATTCAACCCATAATCATTACACTTTTCTCTCACAAAAAAAGTCAAAAAAGTCAAAAAGCCAAAAAGCCCTTCCCAAACCAAGCTTTTTAGCCCAGGCTAAAATAGCCAAAAAAGCCAAAAAGCCAAAAAGCCTACCCACTTCCCAAACGGAGGCTAAATTTATTAATAAAGAGTTGTTAGAATATAAGACAAGTCCTGCATGTGTAATTTAACCAGTAATGTTGAAATACTGACTAGTAATCTAAAGACATAAGACTTTATGAGTTCCACCACTTGCGATGAAGTAGGTTAAGCAATCACGCAATCATTTATCTGATCCGTTAAAAGAAAGGCCTGAATTAATTTATTATATCATAGATAGTTTTTTTTTTTTTTAAGAACATAATAGATAGTTTTAATGGTCTTAGTAAACATATGAGGATGTATTTTTTTTTTAATTTGTTTAAGTTTGGACGAATGACAGATGAGAGGTGATCCAACTCATCTTGATTTTAATTTGTTTAAGTTTGGACGAATGACAGATGAG